TATTATCAATATTCATCCAATAAAAAGCAGACTCTAATGCCTCAAAGTGTTTGAGCAACAATGTTGAAAAACTTGCTCTTCGGTTCAATTCTGCTATTTTCACTGAAAACATATATTAGTCGGACAGTGTTGAGTATAAAACCGCACAACAAAACACAATGCCGGTTGTTGGAAATGATTCCGTCTTATCAAATGGCCATCCTTTTAGGAACCAATTCTGGGGTTTAAGATAATAAAGAGATATTTCAAGAAATATGGTATTATGAGCTTCAAGGACAGGCAAAGCAGTCTCATTTGTCTCATGCACTGTTACCCAGCTCTCTCTCAGACAATCATGGAATCCCCTGGCTGTCTCAGATGAGAAATGATATGCGGTTTCCCCCTTCTCTGAAGGAGATACGGTCCAAGACCCCCAGTGGATGCCTGAAGCCGCAGATAGCATTGAAACCAATATATATGCTCTGCTTTTTCCTACACATACATACCATGATAAAGTCTGATTTATAAATTAGGCACAGTAAGGGATGAACAAAGATAACTAATAAAATGGGACAGTTAAAACAAGGCACTGTGACAGAGCTAAGTGACTGTGTCTCCCTCCTGCTCTGACTGCACTGCCCTCACCCTTCCTGTGATGACGTGAGATGACGCAGAGCAGACATGAGGAGATGGGCTGAGGATGGCGGCCCGTGGGCACTGGAGCCTAGTGCCAGGCTCCCATAAGCGTCCGTGGGACACAAGCACTGCGCCACCAGGACAGTCCCTCTGACAACCGCGGCAGCTACTCGTGACTGATGGGTGGGTGCGGAGCGTGTGCCTTGCGCAGACATGGACAAAGGGAGGGCTCGCGTCCTCCGTGGGGCAGAGCTGGACGGAGGGATTTCATCACACTCCGCAGAGCCGTGTGCGGTGTAACACTGATGAACGGTGTGTTTCTGGAAATGTCCACTTAATATTTTCATACAGCAGTTAATGGCAGGGAAAGGGAACTGCGGCTAAGAGGGGACTACTGAGCTTCCGGCTGTAGCACCCATTTGTAAAGGAAAATAGCTGCTCTGCCCATTAGGAGAACAGATTGGTGGGCAACCTGGAACTTTCTGAAGTTTCAGGTTCTTTCTGCATCAAGAAGGAAACTGCCCTGTACACACAGAGAACACACACGCCTTCACTAAGCTGGTCTGGAAATGTCAATGTTGGGGGCGTGTAGGATTGCATGTAGGCTGCCAAGAAATGGGACACGTATGTCCTTAGGTCTGCTGAAATGAGAATGTGGTTTCTTAAATACTCTGCTAATTAAATGATGCACTTAAATGCCCACAGGATTCATGCCCAGGCCTTCTTATCAGCCACAATCACCACTCCACTGATGTCAGCATGTGTGACCCACGTAGGCCCTTTATAGCTATTCAATGTGAGTGCTTCATAGCATCTCTCCATCCTCAGAGAGCTCCGACACCCGTCTTCTATGGAGTGTGGCCTGTTCTCTCTCTCTGAAGAGGACTTTTATATAAAACATAAGTTGGTTAAACAGGTGAAGTCAGGGAAAATGTTCTCACATTGAGATTTATCGGGTTGTGCACAGTCTCTCATGGGAATCACCAGACACCCCATCAGCTGAGCTAATTTAATTAAAATGACTTTGGAGTGAGTAGAAGAGATGCCGCCTGAGGGAATCATTGTGGGGTGATCCCTAAAGGATCAACTTGATAGTCTTAAAATTCTCAACCATTTCCAAACCTTCAATGTCTTCAGAAACTTTCTGGATGAGAGGAGAAGCCCCCTGCTTGCAGTCTCCACAAGCCCAGGAACAGAAAGCACAGCTCAGCGTGATCCCAGCAGCTGCAGCTAAACTGCACGACACTGGCCGGGGCAGCGGGCCAGGGCCCAGGCCTCGGCTCGCAGGGGGCTTGCTTTGCCTCCCTTCTCCAGCTACTCACTTTCCTTTTTGCTTGTTTCATTTTAAACATCTCAAACCCAGCATTTTCATCTTATCAAATGCACAAATGTAATCATCCTCTCCCTTACCGTGGTGATCTGTCAAGGGGCAAATTCCTGTAAGGTCCCCGACACCCACCCCCGGGCCCCACAGAGAAGTTCCCCGAGGGAAGCTGGAGAACAGAGCTCGGCGTCTGCAGCTCCACCTGCGAGGAGGCAGCGGGGAAGGTCCGGAGGCAGCTCGGCTGCGGGCTGAGCTCTCCCACCTACTGCATGCGCTGCTGCAGAGGAAGCCACATCCCCACCCCACGCTCGCGCCCACACCCGTGGCGCCCTCGCTGAAGAGGAACCGGGCTCCCCGCCCTGTGGCTGGCAGTCTGCACGGAGGCCGGGAGGGAGCGGCTATGGTGGAGAGACACGGGGTGCGAGCTGCCTGGTCCGTCCCAGCTGCGCTAGGAACACCTTCAAGAGCCCGAGGGAAGGCTCTCTACCACCTGCCACACGCCCGCACCCGGGGGCCTGGGACAGGAAAACATCTAGTCCAACAGCGGGAGGGTTTGGGCAGGAAAACAAGCAGCTACGGCTAAAATCACAGCCAGTGGCACCCCAGCTCTGCACTGCCCCGGGCCGTCCAGCAGCAAGTGTAAAGCAAAAGGCGTCCTCTGGGTGTTATTAGAGCGACAAGAGTGAAAGGCGGGGCCTCGCTGGCACACAGGCAGCAGAGAAGTGCATGGCAGCGAGGCCCGGGCACGGCCCTCCAGAGCCCAACGTGCCCCGAGCTTGTGCGTTACACCTTCGCAGCCACCCAGCTACCACACTTGCTCACGTGTGTGAGTCCACGTGCGCCTTGTTTTGGAGGTGGTTTCTTCATTTCTCTCTCGCTCCCACTTCTGATTACGGAGCTTTACCCCGAAGCCCGAGAGCCGACTCCCGCGGGGGTGTGTGCCCTCCAGCTTGCCCCTCCGGGCCTTCACCAATGGAAAGCAAGTCAACAGAAACAGCCTGGGCTCCATTCCCAGTCACTTCACCCTTGAGAAGGGCGGGACCCACAGCCTGGCTTCCCGCGAGTCTTAACATGGCCTTTATCGCCTGCCTTCTCTATAGACTATTTTACTTCATTAAGGAGGGAGATCCCCAAGCCTTTGAAATGTTTCTGTTTCATCAGTTGACTGTTTCTTATAGGTACAATACCTTTTCTCTTAAATAAAAAACTACCGAAATGTAACATCTTACAGAGCCCTCCTTACTCGTGTGCGTGTGCGTGTGCACGTGTGCATGTGTGCGTGTGTGTGTGTGTACACCTGCCGGCCCACAATGCACAGTTGGACTTGCCAGTCTCCCTAATCACATGAGCCAACTCCTTACAATAAGCTTCTTTCTATGCACATACACGCCTCACTGGTTCTGAGTCTCTGGAGAGCCCTGCATGTTACCAACAGCAATAATACAATAGAGGCACCAATTTACAATCAGCCAGCAGCAGACAAGTGTTCCAACCCACAAAATGCGATCGGCTGACCTGCCCTTAAGCTCTTCCCTCCCCACAGGGCCGCGGCCAGCCTCATCTTCCAGGTGGTGAGGAGGACGGGTTTATTACGCGTCTCCCTCTGAAAATCGCCCAGTGACTTCAATGGTCTGCACTGCAGAATGAGGCTCAAATCGTTAGGCACAGCGAGATGGAGCGGTCCCAACTTCCCGGGCTCCTCCCCGACATCCCCCTGCCGCAGCGAGCTTGAATTCCTCTTTAACAAACAATCTACCAAATAAAATCTTACCTGGGACCCCTACGTATCATATGTTGAGCCCTTTAGCTGGTGCCAGCAGGGAGAGGGTCCCACCTTCACAGTTTCTTTCTCACCCTTGAGGTCACCTCTCAGGGCACCTCCAGTGACAGAGAAGGTCTCAGAGCCCAGGGTGAGAACTCAGCTCTGCTCAACTCTGAGCTCCAGTGTGATGTTCATTCTCTGTGCTGTGCATGAGTTTTAAACTTCCCCTGTGCCCTCTCCATGCCATCAGGATCCCCGAAGACGCCCTTTTCTTTCCTCCCCTCACCCCAGTCTCTATTTTTAAAAAATTCCTTCCCTGTCTTCAAGGCCCAGCACAACCTATCCCTCCCGTGAGCCTCCTTGGTCGTCTCTGCTGGAGTCCAGCTCCCTTCAGATCATTTCTTGCACGTTCTGAAGCACCTCTTGGCTTCACCCTGATGCTGCGACTTGGCAGCTCGGCAGCCCTGAGTTAATGACCCGGGTCTCAGGTTCTCCATCTGTGTAATGGGAACACATGGCCTCCCCCACGGTGCTTCATACGTACTACATGAGATGACACTTGCTCACTTAGTACACAAGAAGCACCCAACAAGAGTTAGGCCATCAAGTGTTTTAGGCAGGCGACCCATTTTGGGGGACATCTCCCTAAATACCACTACATTTGCTTTAACTGACTTAGGCCAGAGACACATGTGGTTACAGTAATTTTCTTTGCACCTCCACTCCCACCACAAACTCTGCCACAAAAGGGCAGCCTTGAAATGTCACTTCCCAAGTTGCCTGGGCATGTTTTCCCAGAAGCAGTAAATAAATGCAGCCATCCTTACCCGTAAATTCTCTAAATCAGTTACTAACTGAGCAATGCCTGTTCTGAAGCTAAGCCATACCCTAGCATAATTTTGCACTGAGAGTACCATTTATCCAGAATCAAGCATCTACTTTCTGCTTCAACTCTGGGCTGAAGGCTGGAGGAAGGTGATGGGTTCCTGGACCCAAACGCTGCCGGCATCAATTTGATGTAGGGTCAACAGCACCAAGAAACCGTGAGGCCTGTGCTTTCTCCCGCTACATTCAAGTTTGTGAGGTGCTGCTTCTACTCAAAACTGATAGCACACTAAGAAAAACAAAGTTAACTCATAGTCTCATTCCCCTGAAACAATAGCCACAGAATCTAGAAATGGAATCGGAAAACATCACAAAACATGATAAAGCATTTCGCTGCTTCTACTTGGGCTTTATAGAATCGAATGCCGCCGATTCTATAATGCCGGCACAAAGGGGAATGAAATGTGCGCTTACCTGGCGGGACCACCTGTATCACCTTCTCCCAACGTCCAAATGGGAAGGTCTCAAGAAGGCAGAAATAGAAGCCAAGGTCAGCCTCCGAGGCATTGTAAAAGGCCAGCACCGTGTCCTTGAGCTCCGGGGTTGACTTCAACACGTGAACCCGGTCGACATAGGGCTCCCTGATGACCGTACCGTAAACAGGGTGGAATATGGCTATGGACTCTTTCTTCGCCGTGATCTTGAACCACTCCATCTGGGTGAAGGTGCCCAACAATGGATACGCACAATCCAGAGTCATCGTCTCCGCAAGTTTGACTCTTGTGTCCCAAAATAGCTCTTCACCTAGGGCTGAAATATGCATCATGCTTGTTCAGTTACACTTTCTGATCAAAACACCAAACAGATGTCTTAAGATTGTTCTAGGCTTTCTAAGACCTAGAAAGATGGGCCACTGAGATCATGGTAGAGGCCATCTAACCATCTAACCTCCATCTAAAGCGGTTTCCACTGCTAAGAACAGGCACTTGCAACGTTCCATTTTTCTGCACAAGTAGACAATTATCTAAGCCAACGATAGAGCATTATAATTTCTGAACATGTCACACTATAAAAGCAAAAAGGAGTACAATTTTTAAATGAAAACATTATCTTTACCTTTGTACACATGGAGAACAGCCAAGAGGAGGGTAACGTAATCCATCTCTGGTGAGCACGTGGGAGGCTGGTCTGGAAGAAAGACAACTTTTCTTGTGCTACGTGGAGGCCCAGCGCAAGGTGGTTTCCTGCCTCTCAGATGTTACCAATGGTGTCTTCTCCTTCTGAAGTGTGAACACAGGAAAATGGTCTGCGCTTCAAAGCCAGCTTTGTTCTACATAAAGAAGGGCAGATTTGAACTGCTTCTCTCTCAGGGAAACAGCTTATTTTCAAGCTTTCATTTCTACAAAGATTCATTCACCAAACAAACATTTGCTGAGTGCATTTTCTCTAGGCAATGCGGATACAACAATCAATTAAATTTTAAAAATTCTTGCGCTTGGCCAGCGTGGCTCAGCGGTTGAGCATCTACCTAGGATCCAGAAGGTCGCAGTCTGATTCCCAGTCAGGGCACATGCCCGGGTTGTGGGCTCCATCCCCAGCGGGGGACGTGCAGGAGGCAGCCGATCAATGACTCTCTCATCATTGATGTTTCTATCTCTCTCTTCCTCTGCCTTCCTCTCTCTGAAATCAATAAAGACATTTTTTAAAAAATTCTTGCCATCGTGAACTTATATTTTAGTGGGAGGAGACGAAGGAAAACAAAGTAGAGCAAGTTCTTGGTAAGTGCGTGAGGGAAACACAGCAGGGATGTGGGGATAGGGGAGGGGGAGTAGCATTTCCCTTAGAGAGAAAGGCCCAGGAGTCTTTACTGAGGACCTGAGATTGGAGCAGAGACTGAAGAGGGAAGGGAGGAGCCTGTGGCTGGGGATCTGGCAGCTTCATCGGGCGGGGCCTTCCTTTGCTGAGCACGGCAAGGGCTTTGGGTGATGAAGGAACCACAGACAGCCCTCTAGATAGAAAAGTACCGTGGCTCAGGGCATGTCCAAAATCTACCGTTGTAGCTGATTTTTTTTAACTTTTTTATTTTGAAAAAATTATACAGTCGCAGGAATTTGCCAAGATAGTATGAAGAGGTCCCTTCCACCCAGTGTCCCCCGGCCGTTACATCTTATGTAATTACAGTGCAGTCTCAACACGTGGCTGATTTCTTTGGTTCATCATGGCTCCCTTTCACCTCTTGTAAAATAGCAGTTCAGTTTCTTAAGAACTTGCTAGGAACATATGACCATGTCAGCGTAAAAACACAGTATTGCCTCTATAGCAAGAGGGACTGTACAAATGCCTTTGGCCCTGACGAGAGTGTCAAAATAACAGGAGGGTAAAAACTGGGAACAAGGGGAACAGAACCACTCAGGACAATTCTACCCAATGCCAACTCTGAGCCTCCCATGTGGTTCACTCCAAAGTTATCAGCAGCTATTCACTGCTTAACATCAGTCTACTGTGGGAACTTTCTCATCAAATGTGTAATCAGCAATGTCATGGTAATCAGAACATCGTAATGAGTCCCTGTAATAATGTATGGCGCCAGCTATCTTTACAGAACATTCTATTTCCCAACGAGTTTGGCATCGATGATATTATTTGTAACAGCTTTGTGATAGTTATATGACATACCTGTTATCTCTGTTTTGTAAGTAAGTCGATGAAACAATTTGCTGAAAATGTTGTGTTGTGCCAGGTATCTTGCTTAGGCCCCGAAAATACCAGCACGAGACAATCACTGCCCCCAAATCACTCATAATGTATTGAGTCGGGCAGATTAAAGAAGCTACTTATTATAATAAAACTTGGTAATTGCTATACAAGTCATTTGACCGAGGTTTACAACATCCCAGAGAGGGAACAGTTCGTTCTGATAGGTCTGGGCGGGTGTCATGGGAAGAGGGCACCAGATCCCGGGCTGCATGAAGACAGGATCAGCAGGAAGCAGAAAGGATTACCAAACCTAGGACACCATCACTGTGACCTGAGCGAGCGGGTGGGCGGCTTGCTCTTGAAGATTCCCATGGAGAGGAAAAGAGATGGGCCGACTACAGGTACATTACCCATTATTGATCACACAGAGATATAACAACGATAGGCGTCCTTGACTCCATGACCCCAGTCAGGGTCCAGTTAGGAAAACAGAGCCCACACCCACTGGTTCAATAGGGGGCATTTCCTATGAAAAACTACCAGGAAGAGCAATGGGAGAGCAAAAAAAGCCAAACTAGAGCAGGGAGACAACTCAAAGAGGAGCATAAGGAGGAATCCATTTCCACGGCTCCAGTTAGAGGCCTGGGAGGAGCCAGGGCTGCTCATTATGGGGGCTCCTGTTTGAAGCTGGGACCGAGGAGGAAATGAAATGCTTCCAGAGATGATAGGAAAAGTCAAGGAATGGGCCTGCCAAGAAAAGGGGAAATGGCAGGTGAGAAAAGTGATGCTCAGAGAACCTGAATGACTGCTAGCAAGGGGCATCTATGGAAAACTCACAGCTGGCCTCATACTTGGTGGTGAAAGCTTCCGTCTAAGATTAGGAACAAGGGAAGGACGTCCACATGCACCACCACTATTCACATAGTACTGGAAGCTTTAGCCAGAGCAATTAGGCAAGAAAAAGAAATAAAAGGCATCTAAATTACAAGGGGAAAAGCAATCTACACAGATACAACCACTATGGAACAATGTGGAGATTCCTCAAAAAATTAAATATGGAACTGCCATTTGATCTAGTGATCCCACTTCTAGGAATATATCCTAAGAAGTCAGAAACACTTATTGGAGAGAGTAAATGCACCCCTATGTTCGTAGCAGTGCTTTTTACAATAGCTAAGATCTAGAAACAGCCCAAGTGCCCATCAGTAGATGAGAAGATTAAAAAACTGTGGGTCATTTACACCATGGAATACTACGCAGCTGTAAAAAATAAGGATCTCTTACCCTTTGAGGCTGCATGGAGGGACCTGGAGAGCATTATGCTGAGTGAAATAAGCCAGGCAGAGAAAGACGAATATCACATGATCTCACTCATATGTGGACTCTAATGGACAAAATAAACTGACGAACAAAATAGGTCCAGAGATAAAGAAGCATGGAGCAGACTGAGGGATCTCAGAGGGAAGGGGGGTCAGGCACGGAAAGAGATTAAACAATGAACTTATATGCAAATATGCATAACCCATGGACAAATAGTGCGGTAAAAGCCTGAGGAGGAGGTGGGAAGGGGGTGAAAGGGATCAATGGAGGGAAAAAAGGGTGACATCTGTAATACTTTCAATAATAGACATAAATTCAATAAGTAAATAAATTCATATAGAATTGCCCAGGGGACTTGGAAAAGACAACAGTGACACTCCGAGTCACATTTGTAACAGCTGGAAATAAATAACCCAGAAGATCAGTCCAAGTTGTCAATGATTCCTGATATAAGTAATCATTAAATGCTCATTAAACAAAAGCCAAAACACCCATCTGTGCTAGGCAGTTAGAAAGATATGAGCAGAGCAAGGACGCTGGGCCAGGTATGGAAGGTCACCAGGTGCAAAGCCACGGGAGCCTAGTAAGGACAATTGTAGGGTGGGACCTCGCCCCCAGGGTGGCCTTTCCTTCTCTAGCATATCTCTGGTCATGTGGTTTGGACCCCCTGACCTCCTCTCCATAGAGATAACATCTAGGCCTCAGTTGTGTTTCACTCCAGGCCCAATAAAGTAACAAAACCAGCCACAGCTGCCCTCAGGACCAGCTGCATTGGATGAGGTCCCGGCCCTGGCACCAGCCAATCAATCAGTGGAGACCACACCCTGAAACGACACACTTGGAAAGCTGCTGAATATTATGAGATCTTCCCCTGGGACCTCCCCTAAGCTAAAACCCTGAGGACCCAGCCCTCTCCCTCCTGGGAGCAGCCTGTCTCTGTCTTTCCCTTTCCCCACCCCAGGTGCGGTACCATTAGCTTCCTGAGTCCCAAGCCCCGAGGGCCCTTCCTTTGCCTCTATAATTTGTTTCCTAAGCTTATTTCTTCTAGGAATTACTTCTTCCACCTCTGTAATTTTACCTAATAAATGTTCTCTTGTAGTTCGGGTCTTGGCTCTGAATTCTTTCCTAGCCAGAACCCAAGTTCCAGGGTTGCTGACCCCAGGTCCGTGTGAGCCCGCGGGCCTAACACCCAGGGCCGTTCCCGCGCCTACAACACATCTACCTATCTGTCCATCCACCTGTATCTCGAGGGGGGAGGGGGTGCAGGGAAAGAGAGAGGTTAAGGGTTGGGTAGAACGTGGCAGAGGTGCAGATGGAGAGGAAGGATGGACAGAGGGACAGAGAGGACAAGTGCAGCACACGGGCTATGGGTCCTAAAAGAAATGAGATGTAACAGCATCTTCCACCCTCAGCGGCTCCTACAGCCAGCTCCTCACTGAGCCCTCCTCCCAGGAGTAAGGAATCAGGTATGTGGGTGAATTACTGAAAAACGGGTACTAACTGGTAATAACCTGTAGCAACCCCTTCTTTCCCAAGGCCTCCAAAGCCAGCTGAGCTAAGAGACGGAGACAGTGCAAGTGCCCTTCCGTTCGAAGTGACTAAAATCAAGGGAGGTCGCAGATCCACGCGGAAGGTGCAGGAAGACGTGTGGCCGAAGGTGAAGTTCAGCTGCTACAGCTTTGCGAAGGACGAGCCCTATTTATCACCATCTAACCAAAGACAAATAGAGAGCACGCTTGGGCTATTTCTGTTGTGTAGGCGCCATTTTTTGCATGATTTATGGAGGGATTTTGGCTTGAGGGTTTTTTTCTAATAGAGCTGTCTGTATAAAAGAGCTTCATCCTCAAGGAAGCCATTAATCAAAATACTGCTGGAGTTCTCTCCTGCTGGGCATGTCTCAGCGAGCCACGCCGGCCGGCGCGGATTCATCCACGAGCTCTCCTCGGGCGGACGGCTCCTGGGCGGGTGAGGCCTCCGGGTGCACTGACGTCTCTACCTGCCCGGTTTCACTACTGCTCCCTGGGTGTGTCCCACCTTCCCAGTGTCTCCACCCTTTCTGAACGTGGGCAGGAGTCTAGTCTCTACGCTGTTGCCCAAGCCCGCCTGCCCGCACCTGCTGAACCACGGGGCTGTTCTGGTCGCACTTCCCACTTCTTCAGACAGCTACCGACGTGCTGGAGCAGAGCCTGTGTGACCTTTGAGAAGGAATGACCGGGGCTGGGAAGGTTATGGGTGTGAGGAGGCTCATGCCTCCTTCTAGGAAGACTTCGCCTGGAACCTCGCCA